GATATGACTCAAAGGCAAATGTTCCTATTTTAGTCCTCATAGTCTCATATTATGAAAACACAAGAATAACTATGGACAGCAAATTATGTAAATTTAAGTATTAATACAGTAGGATTTTTTTCTATACGTTAGGCTGTTTAGCTATGGACTGCTCCAGTATTGCCAAATAAGAAACTTTGGAGGCAGCAAAATGAAAGACAGGATTAAGCAGAGGGTATGCCTGCAAGGTTAAACCATCATCACCCACTGGGTGTAATGATAGTGACACTGTAAAACCAAAGCTCTTTGCAGGAGAGGCTTAGCTTCTCCACATGGGACACTATCATATGACCAAGTGTAATACAAGGCAGTCTTGCCATTACTCTGAACTTTAATCATAATTAAGCCACTGCCACAGAGATATTCCTAGTTATTACTGGAATCAGAGAACCATTTAACACCCCTGATATTACTTGAATAAACTACCACAGTATTTAGGTTTATTAAAAAGTGTGAACTCAGGTATTTATCATCCGAATTTAACCACACAGTTTTTATTGTACTGGAAATAAAAAGCTATCCACAAACATTATTATTGAAAAACAGCATTATAATATTACTTCCAAGAATATGGAATTGCTTTGGAAGTAACACAGAACACAAAAGAGTATTCTATTTAATTTTACTAAATAAAATATGGTCTTGAAACCAGTAGGTGTGTTTCAATTTTTGGTACAGCTCCATTTTTTTATAAAGCTATTATTTTGTTGATACTACTTATTAATGAGATGTAGAAATTAGGCAAGCATTTACTTAGCTTTGTAAACACGTATCAGAAGACATAAATATTATATTTCTGTTTTTAAACCATTGGAATTATTGCATAGATTCATCCACAGTGTGTAGTAGGCTTTCTCCCTAGAGCAGTTCTAACATTCCACTAAATATATGCTATTCCTCTTTATCTCTTTGAAGAAAAATGAATCACATCCACTGCTTGCAGCTATCAAAATGTGATTTATCAAGCATTTTCATGAAAATGCACTTTTCCCCTTCTTTACACTAGGAGGCACATTTTTACTTCATACAGTTCTATTGCACAGCTCTGCTGCATGCAACTCTTAGATACGTTTACAATTCCAGTCTAAATTTAAGTCCCTGACAACCTTTTCTAAACCACAGTGAAAGAATTCACTAATAAGGTGGGTTGTTTTTTCACACTGATGAAAACCACAGTTGTAGTAATGAAAAATAACACTCTGCACCCGACTGCTGGAGAACAAAAGAATGGGGTTTTTTGAGCAATACCTGAAGAAATAATTCACAATAAAATACATCAGAGTTGTACAGTTTTAATGCAACTGATGATAAAGATCTTTGTGTTAAAAGTACACTTCCTGATATACACGTTTAAAACCATTAGAAAGCAGGAATTTTTGAGATGAAAGATGTTTTAAAGTAGTATATATAAATTCAATTTTACATTGACCTTTTTTTTCTTTTTTTCTTTTTTTCTTTTTTTTTTTTTACATCGTAAACAAACTGGAATGTATTCTGCATTTTTATCTGATATGCTAAAAGTTAAAGAAGTTGTATCAGATGACTGATCTTTGGAATATATTCCTTTTTATAGGAATCAGGTGTATCAAGCTGCAAATGAGACAAAAGTGAACTATAAAGAAGTTGCAATTGATAGGTTAGCATCAAGCTCCTCTGACCATCAATATTATTGATCAATTAACAATAGGGAAATGGAAAATATATCTTAGCAAAATGAATTCAACCCTCAAAATAAAAGACCTAAATAAAGAAGACAGATTTCAGTGATACAAACCAAACTTGGACTTACATATCATCATAAAAGACTTCCTATCTCTATCTTGTTGCCTTTTTCTCATAGGCACAGTGACAGTGTGTGGCTGACAATGCTAATATTTGGCTTCTCTCTTCATTTCAGCTTCACCCAGTGTGAGAGATTTCTGTTTTCAGATTAGCTAGATGAATGTACTCTCACTGTGTGTGTTTATTTCATTAAATCATGTAATTGTAGCTCTTCTGTCTCTGTAGAAGCTAATGACTGCAAGTAAATATGGCAGTAAGGTTTCTCAGAGTTTTGTGTAACAAGTTAGCAAGACTTCTAGTACATTTCCCCCCCACCCCCCATTTCAGGTTTTGAAGACTTGAGCCTTGGTCACTCTTCAAATATAATTAAAATAGCAACATTATATTGAGAAACAATGGCTGTATTTTTATTCACTTAACTTCACAGTGTACAGTAATAACCCACACAATTCACTGAGCATTAAAGTCATTAACTAAAATTGCTCTCAGCATGAGGCAAGGACTTTACTATCAAGATTAACATCACATTCTCATGAGCTGAAGCAAACTTTTACTTAGAATGAACTTTCATAAAAATACAGTGGAACAAATCTGTATTTTTGGTGTAGAGGTCATTTGCAAACATTCCCAAAACTACTGTTCTTTCTCTTCAGTTGAAGCATTTAGAATAAAAATATTGTTATGCAATTATCATCCAAAACTGGTAGCAGTACATGTACATGGCAATACTACAACTCTCCACTAGGGCTTTCTTCCTTACTTTATAGTTGTATCTTTTACTTTATCATGTCCCAAGTATTTTCATAACCAGCAACCCCTTAAACAGCCGCTGAAATGAAACTACCTCTACAGTTAAATACAACTAGGGAACATTTCACTGCAATAGAACTAGAAATTCAGCTTAGGAGTGTCAAGGAATACAATGTTCAAATGATACTACATCAGTTATTTTAACCATGAACACATGTAAATACCCACAAAGTAACTGCTCAATACCAGCATTTTTCTCTTCTGAAAATTGCAAAAGCAATAACCATAAACTGTTTTAAACCTTATTTCACATCTCATTCAAAAAACTTGTGCCTACAGTAGCAAAATAATTTTTGATACAGTGCCTAGGCAATAGCTTGATATTGAATACAATATAGAAGCTAAATCCATTTAATGAGTGACATGATTCCCATCCTGGCCTGGATTTTTTAGGATAATTTCTGTCACAGTACTGACCTTATAATTCCTTTCTTAGTTTGTGAGATTTGATGAGATACGGAGTGTGTTTTTCAACGTCTGATAAAAAGCAGAAAAACCTATACTTCAATATTCACTAATTGTTAGTACAGCTTGATGGTTAGATTTTCATAAATTTGACACAAATTTAGCATCCCTAAGGCTAAATTAGGTGCTACCACAAGCATATTAAAACTTTTCATATAGCTTTTAAGACCTTATTCTGACTAACCTTCTATTAGTGTCTATAGTAGGCATGAATAGATGATCGTGATTAAATAGTATGTTTTCACAATGTGTTTAACACAAAATTTCCAAAACTGCACTTTAATAACTTGCTATCTAATTTAACACCTTTTTTCCTAACTTTCCTGCTGGACTTCTATGCTGCATTTTAATAAGATGTACAATTCAGAGTCTGTGAAGCCAATGCAACAATGCCAACTTGCAATGCTGCACTAAAAACTCCTCTCTGATATTGTTAAATCTTTCACAAGTCACATACGTGGTCAGAGAATTAACCAGATAATTTCACTTAAGTTCCTCACTTGCTTAAGTAGACATACATTCTTGCTCCAGAATCAATCCATTCATAGTTGCTACTCTTTTATCATTCTTTGCATTTCTACAGATTAAGGGTTTAACACCATAGTTCCAAAAATATTTCTGTTTTGGTAAAGAAAATAAAATGAAAGTGTCATATCCAGGAAAAAAAAAAAGTTGAATAGAGGAAAAGAAACCAGACTGCAACTCTCAGACAGTAAAACATTTCATATTGTTTCTTTGTAGAGTTTCATCCAACACAACCTCTTGGTCTTCCCATATACATATGAGAAAAATATTTCCAAAGTCAATATTCCACAGTTCATGTTGTCATCTGCCATGATGTAAATGTCATCATTCAGATCCAGTCTGTCCAAATGAGGAGATGGACCTTAACATTGTTCATCAGATCCCAAAGCCACCTTCTCTCCTGGTTTGTACAGGCCCAGTGACAACTTAATCATCTATACAAAAGGGAGAAATGCCAAAGACAGAAACTAATTCTTATTTCTATACTCCTGGGATGCAAGAGAACTCAGGTTCAATTACCTTCCAAGAGCACAAATAAGACTTTTAACCTTTGTCTCCATATTCTCGAAAAAAACAAGAAGTTTAAGAGCTACTTCCTCCTCCCTGTTTTCAGGATGTCTAAGCCTCCACATTCCAAACCCCAACACCAAAATACTAGTTACAGTATCAGTGAAGATCTTGCTTCAATTTTTAGTACTCTCACAAAAACACAACAATAATGTAAATGAATCATAGAGGAGGAAAGAAGAGAAAGGCAGAAACTCCCGAATCAAATAGTTCATCCTTAATATTTTGTTTGAAAACCTGTATCTCACACTTCCAGTACATCATGCCACTCCAAGCTAACAAAGAAACCTTGTGATGCTTAATGTTCGAAAGGGGAATTGTAAGGGTGTTTAAAAATTTGGGTTCTTTCCATTTTTCAGTGCTTCACTGATTTACTGATTTCTTTGTTAGTCTAAAAGACAGTACAGCCTCCATGTCCTTGAACTTTAAACTGATATTTAGAATGACTTTTCTAAAACAAAGTCTATAGCTAAATAGCTGCAGCACTGAAAACATCAAGAAAAACTTGATATCTTGTAGGACATCCTTCTCCCCAGCTGTTATTGCTTACTGTGCAATTAGTATGAAGCCATTTATTCTACTGGATATACTGGATACTGGATATACGTTTCTTTCCACAGTCAAATTATTACAACATCAGGCACTTCAGGCAAACTTCATTATTTCCAAAAAATCCTTATGAGCTAATATGATCAAATATTCATGCACATGCTTAAAAACATCTCTACCACTGCAAAGCTCAAAGGGATGAAAAAGAAAGTAACCAAGTTAGCAAAGCAACTCAGATAAGCAGAGCAGTGATGGTGACTCACCCGAGTTGGGGTCAGAATTGCCGTCAGCTTCAGTCCTCTTGTCCGGTGAAGCCTGGTCGTAGAATTCGTCCTGCGGCTGAACCAGAGGAAGAGGGTGTGAGATCAGGGTTCCACCACCCACTGGCTCGTGGTCTCCCAGACCACTGTCACTGCAGCTTTCCTGGGAGCCATCGGGGAGGTGAAATGTAACACGGCGCTGGGACTACAAAGAAGAGCACAGGACACACTGATTAGTGCTCTTCTTTTCAGTTCTCTTGACTACTTTTTTGTTTGTTTGTTTTTTTATACTTTTGACATACAGATAGATCCCTGGCAATGCTTATGAAGCAATTGCTATTACCATGTTTGCCTGTTGTTTGTGGTTTGGTTTGTCTTCTTTTTTTTGGCTTGCTTTTGGATGGGAAATTGGCAGATGGGAGGGACAAATTTCAAAAGTTTATATGTGCTCATCTGTGAAGTAAACTTCTTATAAGAAATTGATCAGTGGAAAATTAGATATATTTGTCAAAATTTTCAAAACATCATCTATTAAAAAACCTCTCTCTGAGAAGCAGGAACCATTGCAAACTATATTATAAAAAGCAAGTGATATCTGAAAATCTAATAACTATATATTTCTGAGGTTAAAATCTGTATTATCACTATTCAAACTGAAAAGAAAGGAAAAAAAAAAAAAGACAACCCCCGAGCTCTAAAAACCCATAAAAATGGTTGTTATCTTTCAGGAAATGTAGCATGAATAAATAGCTATCTACAAGTATATTTAACTGATAGCAGTCATGTACCTTAAATGGATAATTAGGATTGATAATATATGTGCAAATTCACAGTAGTCAGCAAAGAACCACAAAATGCAATGACAGAATAAATAATTATCAATTTGGTAGGAGAAATAAAAATAAAACAGCACAGAGTTTGTACAAAAAAAAATCACAGGGATTGAGAGGCAGAATTACACATCTTACTGAACTTTTTAACAAAAAAACCTGCACCCATCTCAAAAGGAAAACAAAACAAACCAAAACAAAAACCATTCAGTGTAATCTTAGATTAGTTAACTGTTATTGATTTTGAACCTCTCTCATCTGGAGAAATAATCTGACTTTTGAATTGTGGCCACAGAATGATACAGTGATTCCCCAAGAGTTTCAGAGCTGATAGCACCGCTGCAAATTGTTTAGCAACCATGACTGTTGATTCACAAAAGGAATATTACAGGTCTTCATGGATCAAAATACTGCTTCTATGAAGGATTGGAAACAACTAACTTAAGAGTATCTCAAGAGAGTGGTCAAATTAAGCATATCTTCCCACCAAAAACATATTTCAGCAGCTTCAATAGTCTGGTGTGCTAGATTAATTTAGGATAAAGTAGAGATTCACAAAGTTTGCCTTAATCTAATAGTAACTTAGTTTATAGTAACTCTTAATAGTAACTGTTTAGTTTTGTAGTTATTTCTTTTCATTATTAGTCACCTGAAATTTATGGGGTATATCTAAACTAATGATTCAAGATTTCTACAGAGCCAGAAAAGAAAGAAACATTAGGAAAATACTACAAGTATTTTCACTTTATTAAAATTCTTAAAAAGTATTAACACTTTTTAAAATAGTTAACATCAGGTGTCCTGCATCCATCCTGAAACAACATCAGGCCCCAACTTTCCTTTTTTTCCCCTCTCTCCTTTATAATTTTTCTTTTAATGAGAAAAACCTCAAGTTAATAGTACTAACTGTATGTTTGCTTATTAAAGACTACTTGTTAATGGTAATTGCTACCATTTTATATGGCGATCAATATAATCTACCAGGTTCCTTTTTATTCATCTCCCTTGGGTGAATATAGTTGATTAAGTCAACTTTAGATTACTGTGTTATTCAATATAGAAATAAATGTAATACTATTTGCTCTTGGCTGTAATTTTATAATTAGTATTTTGCTTTTAAGTTCCTTTTCTAGCTTTAGGATTAGAATCCAGCTGTAGAAAACCAATTAGATCCTCTGAGTCATTGGATGTATTCATTACATCAACAGAGAACCTAACTCTATACATGTCAGCAAGAAAACCTTTAGCTCACACTTTGTTACTTTTTCTTACAACTTTTTTTGGTCTCGAAGTACACCCTGAACAATTTTCAATTGCTATTCTATTCTTCCCCTTCAATATGAGCACAATAGAAATGTAGCTAACTAGACAAAATCATCTTTCTGCAACTACTTTCAGAAAGATAAATTTGGGGATCTGTTTTTCCAAACTAAGAATTTTCATCACTAGTAAAGTCAGCAAGTGGCAAACTGTGGTGATGCATCCCCCTACCCCTACGCCCACCCTCTCTCCAGGGCACACTATGATCTGAGGAAAGGAGATTGCTTTCATTGGTTTTAAACCTAAAAGATTCTATAAGAAGATATGAATGAATAAGAATATTAAGCCCTGAATTAGGGGAGGAGATGACAAATTAAGTTTTAGGATCTGTAAAATAATAAAACCCTTATAACTAATTAACCACCTTAATAAACAGTAGAATTCATAATTACAAAAATGACCTGTTTTGTGAGTTATATAATAAAAGTACTTACCTTGAGTAACAAAAATTCCTCATACTAGCCAAAATCTGCTCTGACTCTATACTGACAGTGACAGGGACCAGTTGGCCAGTAATATAACACAGGCCTAACACTTATACTGGCAACTTCTTAGCTGATAGTACTATTAATTTTTAAATCCATACTTTAAATTATGAGAGAAAAATGGATTGTCTTGCCCTTCTGAGCCACTGTAGCAGGGTCATTTGCTTTGGAATGTGATCAACTCAAAATATGTCCTATTTTGCAAGCTATCAGTAGTGGGCTGAGAGGTGTCGTCATGTGCTGATTTTGGCACTGGATTATGCTAAAAGCAGTCTGGCTCACCAGCTCCAAATTAAATACTGATAGTGAGGTAAAGATTTGACAGATAAGCTGCTCAGGTGACTTGGAGACAGACTTGAAGACTGGCAGTCAATCACTATATACTGTAGAAGTCCAGTCCACTTCCACACAGTTGGGTTCCTCTCACATATTCCTTCTTTGAGTGTATGAATTTTTCTCCCTTGAAGTAGGGAAGCCCCTTCAAGGAAACTCTTTGAGGCTGAGTGAAAGAGATCTGCCCATAAGCATTGGTGTGGTGAGCTATACCAACCTCTGCTTAATAATGGCTTCTTTTTTGCTAGCTTTATGTAATAGCTTTGATATAGTGCACTGTACCTATACTTTATGCTGATAGTAGTTTTGGCTTTTACATGCTGTAGTAAATAAATCTGATTGAGGTCTTTTGTCTAATCATTTGTCATCTAAATAATTGATATTTACATAAATTTATCTGATTTGCCATCATTAATCCTCTGAGACAAAGTTACTTAAACCATTGACAAAGTCTGGGGTTTAGACTGGGGCCAGTGACATGTAAATTCTTCTCTGGGAAGTTTAGAAAGCAAGGAGGGCCTTTCTGCACCCTGTGACTCAACAGCTGGGATTATCTAATAAACTTTTTCTGATGTTCCTATTCTTACCCACAACAGCCACTGAGTAAAGAATCCAGAAATCATTATAAAGGGTTATAAAAATTGAAGGGTTGTGTAAATAGTGATCCAGCTCAAGAGCTGATGGATGGATGACATGCAGTCCATAAAGAAACTTTAGATTATGTTGTGCCATCAAAACAATGAGGGGAACAAGCCTTCTGCAAAAAGAGAATCAAAGCAAATGTTTAAGCTTAGGCATATCAGTAATTGAGAAGAAAGTCTGTCTTCACTGTACTGAGAGCTTACAAGTTTTAAATAATGTGATATGTGGCCACTGCCTGGTCCAGAACGCTCCTGCCTGGCTGCAGGAGTCCAGCCTGGAATCTCCACACGAGGAGCGCTGCTGCAAGTACTGAGACTGAGCATGTAACACAGACACACACACACACAGACACTGGCTTGGCCTCAGCTGTGGCTACACAGACAGCCCCAGACAAGCACCTCAACCCCTCCATTCAGGACTCACATCAGGCACAGGCACACAGGGATACGTCCCCTCCTTCTCTTGGGCTGTCAGAGGCAGAAAGTCACAAGTGCCGCACACACACACACTGCACTCTCCAGGTTTAAAAATACCTTTACAGCCCTCCCTAGCTCCTGCACAGCCCCTCTGCCTGCCCAGCACCCCTGCCCAGATCCCAGCCCCCCTGACCATCCCCACAGGTACCCAGTTCACTGGCTGGTTTCACTGGGTGCTTGCTGCCCACATGCAGCACTCACACACTTGTCCCACTGGCAGGCCACACTCATGGGTCCCCCCCAAATACCAGCACTGCCCCCCTGCCTGTCAGATACCCCCACCCAGACCTGGGATCTCCTACTCCTGGCTGGTCCAGTTTGGAGTTTGCCCATAACTCTGCACCAACACACCACGCATAGCTGCCTTGGGCAAGGTACACAGACTCTCCCCCAGAAGCATGCATCGCAGGATGTGACACATGGTCCAGATCCAGCACCGAGCCCCTCACTGATTGTTCACTGAATGTGAATTTCTTGCACGACAGTAAAGACAGGGACTCTTCTTTCAGAAGAAAATCCAACATGTTTTAGACTATGCTTGTGTTTATCTACTCCCTTGTGTAACAAAATCCAGTTTTGAATTCTTTTTCCCTAAAGACAGAATCAAGTTATTTTGAGTAATGAGGTTTATAGTTGGTACAACAATAGGACTAACGATAACAAGTAATTACAATTTTAATTATGCTACAACATACGTGGGATTATATACAGCATGAGGTAATGTTATGGTTCAGGTCCCAAAGCCTGGCCAAAATTCACATCTAAAATACATGACATATTCAATCATGAACAAGCATTTGGTGGGGGGGGGGGGGGATAGGGGTCTTCTTCAGGTCCTGAAAAAAATTATTCTTATTTTTAATCAGAAAATATCACCTCATGGTTATGTGAAACCTAAAACTGAGAGGAGAAGTCAGTCAAAGCAATACAATTTTACCTGTGTCAAAGTAATTTCAATATATAATTCAGAACAATTTGACTCAAAGGGGTTTTTGAACCCAGGCTGAGTTTAAAATTCGGGAAAACAATCAGGAATCATTCTCCTTTAATCACCTACTGCAGCAGATGCTATGAAGCTCATCTAGGTGAAGCATGACTTTACACCCACAAGAGAAACAC